GCGCCCCAGCCCAGCCACTGCTGTGGCAGCCCTGCACTGCGAAAGGCATTGCAAGCCCTTGCAGAGGGGCCCTGTGGCTGAGCACTCCCCAGAACCCCAGCCTTTCCCCCCGGGCACCTCGTCCCAGGAGCACCCTGCACCCCCTGGCGCCTCCCAGCCCTGCCAGCCACCCGAGCACTTTCCCAGGGAAGAGGATGGAGGGAAAAAGAAAGCCTGCTGCTGTGCCCAGGAACTTGAGACGTCGTTCACCTATGTGGATGAAAATGTAAACCTGGAGCATACAAGGAGTCCTTCCAGTCCTACAGACAGCCGCTGCCAGGATGCCCCTCTGCAGCCGCGTTCCTACAGGGAGCTGCCACCTGAGTGGGTGCACGATTCTCCTTCCCTGGTCTCTGAGGAGGACGATGCTGCCTCGGAGACAGCAGCGGGGAAGTCCGTGGACTATGGGTTCATTAGTGCCATTTTGTTCCTGGTCAGTGGCATTTTGCTGGTGATCATTTCCTACGTGGTACCCAGAGATGTGACTGTGGATCCCAACACTGTGGCTGCCCGGGAGATGGAGAGGCTGGAGAACGAGAGCGCTAGGATCGGGGCTCACCTGGACCGCTGTGTTATCGCTGGGCTCTGTCTCTTAACTCTGGGGGGAGTGGTGCTCTCCAGCTTGCTAATGATGTCCATGTGGAAAGGGGAGCTGTACCGGAGGAGCAGGTTTGCGTCCTCCAAGGAGTCTGCGAAGCTCTATGGGTCTTTCAATTTCAGAATGAAGTCTGGTGCAAACGACAATACGCTCGAGCTGTCGTTAGTTGAGGGAGATGTGCTTGCCATAGATAATTAGTGTGGTCGTAATTTTTAAGGCAGCATTTCTACAGGAAAATATGTTTCATTAAAGAAAACAGATGCAGCTTAAGATAGCTGGTGATGCAGTTTATTTGTCTGACGAGAATGGTTTTTTCTTAAGCTCTATAATCAAATGTTTGCAGTATATGAGCACTTGTTGTAAAGGGGAAACGTGCCAGAGAAAATGCAACTGATAGAAAATAATGAAAACCACTGAATAAAAAAAGATTTGTGATAAGTAGGTTCCTCATATACTCCTTTATCCTAATATAAAACATTCCATTGGTGTCTTGCCTATATAATTTTCTTATTACTCCCATATAGAACAGGAACGACCTTGACACTTCGGAAGCTGTTAATTATTGCAGCCTGCAGGGTTGTTAACAGTCTACTTGGTAGACTGTTAAGAAGCAGGACTGATAATCAAATAGCAGGGCTAATATTTAATTAAGAGAGATGCTTTTTTATCCTTTAATTTTAAGCTGCTCTCCTCTCTTCTGTTGAGTGAGAGCTAAGGGAAAAAAGAACACCACTTGGTCATGACTTGCCACAAACCTCCCATATTTTCAAACAATTGTACAATTAGTGATGATTATTTAAAATATAAAATAAGAGGCAAAGAGCCTGGAACCATATGGCTCATGGTATTGGTAGGAGACAAAAGGCTCTTTCAGCTTGAGGTCAGTGGCTCCATTTCAGTTCAGATTAGCAATGATTGATAGTCATTAACTTCTGATAGCTGTAGTGGCCCATATAAAAGAAGTTTAGTTCCTGGTGGACAGATGGCTTTGTATGAAAACTGCCATAACTTGAATTAACCGACCTCTTGTTTGGAGTCTCAAAAGACCCAAAGAGTTAAAAACCATGAGGATGCTGAGATGGAGCACTTTTCCTTCAGTACAGATGCCAGAAGAAATAAGCAGGGCATTGCTTATACTGGGGCTGTCTTCATCTTACTAGTCTTTTTGCAACTTCAGTTTTATGTCACTAGACTGTCGGCCTTCTCATAACCGGCAAGGAAAGGTCAGGAAGGAGCTTTCTGGGGCTCGTTCAATAAAAACCAATTTATTTGTGAAAAATAAATTGCCAGGAAATACGAAGGTTAAGTATCAGGCAGTTTACTGGCTGACATGGGCCTCGCTTAACTAGGGCATGATCAAGGGTACATGTTGTTATTAATCTGAGTTCTGTGGCACAGTAGCCAAAAACCTGTACCACTGATGCTATTTACTTTATTATCAGCCAGTTTCTGTGAAACATAGAAGTTGTGTTCTTGCAGTGCTGGGAAAGCCAACAAAGATTGTTGTATGCACCGCTATCAGTTCTTACTGAACAGTGGTTAATATATCTATATATATATATGTCATGTTAACATATATATGTATATTAATATATATGCATGTGTCCCTGCCAAAGCCAAACACGAGTGAAGAGCTCTGTGTACAGCCCCTGGCTGCAGAGTCTTAGTAGAAACATGTGATTCACTGTCACAACCTCGTCAGTCGTGAGTTAAGTCTCAAATATCAGGAATATAAAATATTTTTTAAATGATACTTTTTCCCTACTGTGACATACCTGAGAAGAGTTCTCTTGGGAAGGAGGGAGATCTCCTTTATGTCTCCTTTGCCCAGGTTCAGAGTAACAGGTGACAGGTGGAAACATCGGGTCCTCACACGGAGAAACTGAAGTCTATTTTGCCACCTGGTTCCTCATTCCCTCTTCTCTGGCTGTTCGTGTCAGGAGACATGGGCAGCACCCGTGTCTGACAGTCGCCTAGTTCAGCCCCTCCTGCTTGCTGGCCATGGGTGCTGGCACAGGTGCCTTCGACCGAGGGCCTGAGGAGCTGCGCTGCTCCAGGCTTGTGTCTTTGGTCACTGTAAATAGTGTGATGTGGTACCCAGGCTCTAACTTTGGCCCTGCAAAAGAAATGCTGCTTCAGATGTTATCTGCTGTAACCAACGCTTTAGTTCAGTGCTATTTGGTAATTAAATAAGCAGCCTTATTAGGTGGTGCTGCTGCCTAGTAGATGGTTTTGCCAGTTTATGTCATGATATGGAGTGTGTTCACAGCCAGGAACTCAACAGTGGCCATCATGTCCACAGTCATCTTTGGAGAGCTTATATCGCTCTGGATGTGTCATCAGGAATTCAGGATTGAATTTCTAGGGTAAATAAATGGAATAGCTTCCAGATGTATGGAGAAGCCTTCAGTCTGTTGGGATCCATAAGAGTGAGAAAGGAAATAGCCTGAGAAGCCGGACACGAGAGAGGAAGGCTTCTTCTTAGCTGGCCTTTGCCTTCCGGTGGGTGTGAGGACACTGCCTGCAGGGCCTGACATAGGGCTCATCATGGGGTGGTGGGGACAGCTCTGCCTCCCATCCTGCCCTGAGGATGAGAAGGGGCTGGCAGTGGCCTCCAGAGGTCCAGGGAAAGCCGTGCCAAGTGAGAGAGCAGATGGTGAGAGATGACTGAGCCAGGGGCAGCATGATGGTGTGGGGCAGGGAACAGGCACAGTGGGGGATGAAAACTGTTTCACCAGCCTGGGCCCCTAATGGGAATCGCTGTACTCGGCCACGCAACAAAAGCTCTAAAGCCGAGGCAGGCAGTTTTGAGAACTCTTATTTTTATTTTTTAATGATACATATGCATAAAATTGGAGTACATTCCATTATTGCAGAGAGATGACAGCTCAAGCTGTAAGGATCACAGATTTCTTGTAGGAACCGTGGCATGCCTTAATGCTGATTATTAGCGCTGGAAAAGGGAACATTCCCCCGACTGTCAGTATGTTACTATCAAGTGAGAAGTTTTCTGACACTTTGTAAAATGCCTGTCACAGATCATGAGCCTGCAATACTTAAATGAACCCTCAAATTTTCCCTGAGCATTTTAAGGAAACGTAAGTCAACCTAATAACCTAAATATACTCTGTAGAAGTGTGAGGAGTAAGAAAATTTAAGTAACAGGACTAACACAGTTTGTTTGTTTTGGGTTAGTGTGTGCTACGAAAGAGGCGAAGGCAGACCTTCGGAGTGCGGGAATTTAGCAGATAAAAACTCTCAGGACATTTTTCTGCTCACCCAACAAGATACCTTTACAAATTACAGGACTGTGCGTGTTGGCGGTGCAATATAAAACCTCTGGACTCTCAGGTTCTCATGCTGTGCAGTGCGACAGAGACCAAAACGCTTGCTGTTGGTGGCCGATGGTGGAAAATGAATGTTTTCACCCACTGTGGGTGGACGAGCCTCCGCATCGCTCACCTTGCACAAGGCAGTGCCAAAGGCTGAGGCCAAGGGAAATTAACTGCCCTCTTGTGCACCCTCGCGATTTGATTTCCCCTGCTCAAAATTTAAATGCTTTAAGGGTACAAATGTGAGAAAAGTTGTTAGGTTTTTTTTTCGATGCCTGGGCTAAAGTTGTCACGTGGATCATTGGAGAGCTTTCTTCTTTGGGGATCTAAATTTTGGCACGTGCCAGGTGGGGTTTAGGTGCCCTCTGGAGTACCTCGGAGACATATCGGGACTCGTGCTGTCAGTCAGCTTATTTCTGACCGACCTGAACAGCGAAACGTGACACTTTCGTGTTTGCTACCTCATGGCGTGTCCGTGGGCTGGGCAGGACACGCCATGTCCTGCCCTGCCTGCTGCCTTCCCACCGAGGGGACGTGGGGACCGGCAGCCAGGGAGGCACCTGTGCTGCCCTGCACTGGGCTGCAGCGGCTCCCCTCTGCTCCAACAGCTCCCCGGCAACCGGGTTTCTTTTTGTCGATTAGATGTTAGTGGCCGAGGCTGGGCATATGGCAACTGCCTGGCACCTGCTGGGAGCTCTCGCCAAAAGGATGGCCGGTCGCCACATGGCTCCCGGCGCAGCCGGCCATGCCTCCTCACTGCCGTCCCCGCAGCAGGAGTGCCTGAGACTCCCTCCTAGGAAGCTACGCTGAGTTGTTCCTGGTTTTTGATATGTTTACAGTTTTTTAATCTTTGTAATTCTTTTAAAAATCTGTCTGTAATGAATATAAAGTTTACCAACTGGGAAAGCAACCGGTTTAATCTTGTAAAACTCCTTTTTTGACCCGCGACAGGGCAAAATGTCACAGTCCATCGTGAGCTTTTCAGTAGTGCGTTCGATGCCTTATTATGATAGCAATGGCGTTCTGTACAGATTGAAAAATAAAAGTCTATGAAGCCAAGTGCTGTCGTCATAGCTGTCTTTGCTCCTCACGGAACAGACGGTTATAGTGGTGGGCTCTTCCTCTCGGTGCCGAGGGCTCAGCCCCTCGCCAGGAGCCACGGCGAGGCCCGCGAGGGCAGCCTAGCGAGGGGTGGCTCCGGATTTGGCTGCACCAGCACGTGGAGTTTGTCCTGAGCTCGCCCAGCAGCTGTGTCCTGGCCAACTGCTCCTTCCAAGTCAGAGAGTGCCAGACAACAGAGGCTTTAAAACTCTGCCGTGCCAGCGTCCCACCTAATTCTGCATCACCAATAACTTAAAGAGAAAAGGAGGAGGGTGGGAGAGGGGCTGCGTGATCGGGCAGATGGGGAGGCGGTGGGCGGTGCAGGGAGAGGCAGGAGCAGTGCTCCCAGAGGGCTGTGGGCCGGGCACGGCCACTACGGAGGCATCATCTCCCCCTTCCAGAAGGGACCGCAGCATGCCATGGCTGTGTCGGAGTGTGGCAGCGATGGGGGGTGCTGGCGTGGGGCCAGCAGGGACCAGCGCAGCCCCCAAGCAGGACCTCCGGGGGGCCATGGTTTGGTCCTGGCTTGCCTTTTGTGTTTCTCCCGGATCCCCAGTGTGTGTCAGTTAAGCATCTTAACCACCTTTGACAACCTCTGCTCCCTCCCAAATGCGATACGGAGGTATGCCATGCCGGTTATGCCTCGTAGCGTCGCTTTTCCTTCCAGCGTGACAGGATCAGACCCTTTCCTGCCACTGTCAAGTGAAGCAAAGCGTGGGTGGGAGTGCCACAGTGGGTGTGGATCCAGGCTGGAGCAGAGGCTGTCTGCTCTTGTTACCTGTTTCCACGGTACTGGGTACAACAGGACCCCGGTTCGCCATTCAGGTTCCAGGCTCTTACTGCTATGGCAGTAATGAATGTGTCCCTGAGGTGACTGAATTGGCTGCAGTAACATTGCACTGGTGCCAGATGCAGCCGATGGTGTGCAACTGATGGTTAGTAAGAGGTTAAGAGAGTAGTGTATTTTTAGATGTGACAATCCATCAGCTTAAAGATCTGGGAGGC